ACCTTTTCTCAAAAAAAAAAAAAAAAAATGCTGTTTAATCCCAACAACTTGGTGTAAATGCTAATATTGGAGAGTTTTCTGCATACTKAATTACTGATGGTCCTTTTTTTATGATAACTAGTAAAATTTAAATAAACTACCTAACTACTCACCAAAGTGTGCAACAGGCCTTTGTAGAAATATTAAACTGCAAAGGAGAACCCGAACAGCAGAGATATAAAAACAAAAACTGAATTACTGATGGTATAATTCAGTGAAGTTAATTGGAAGATGATCAGTAATACTGGAGAGTCTTCAATGCATTATTCAGTTGATAATTAAAGAATCCTGCCACCAGCATAATTTTTTGATGTGTCACATTAAAAAAGAATAGTATGCGGAAAGAAAAATATCCATACCAGTGTCCTTATGGTTATTACATAAACATATCCCAGTGGACAAGGAAATAAATTGTAGACATGTCAACATTTCAAGTTTTCCAAGTAGGCATACCAGACTCCTCAGGTAGGTGTGGGGCAACAATATAGTTAAATTGAACTAATCTATATTTAAAATGGAGATGTCAATCCCACAGAGATGGTCGCTCAGGCACAAAAACACCGAGGAGGAGGAACTATCAGATAAGGGAAAAAAGACGGTGGAATCAATGACTGATGGACAAAAAGAGAAATATAAAAGACAATAACATGAAGAAAAATAATGTACTTTTGCAACGATGATAATGATGAAGAATACAAAAAAGTGGCTCATTTTAAGATTAACTGTTGGAAGTATTATAAGAATCATGTTAAGATTCTTCTTTGAAAGCTAACATAAGGGTGACCACACAATAAAAAATGGAGGAAAATAAATGGAAAAGAACAACCTTTATCAAAAGAAGACTTTCATGTAATTCAGTAGCATGCAAACACCTGTGGATGGAGACTATTATAACAGCCAACCATATCAAAAGAAGACAGTGAGAGATCAAAAGTCAAAACCTAACAATAATGCCAAAGAGAAATAGGATGTAGCCCATAGTAGATTAAGTTAAACCTAAAATTTAGGCTTTGCAAGGTGCTATTCATCCATAGAAGACAGATCCTAGATGGAATCCTGATTGTAACCGAGCTGGTAGATTCAAAAATTAGGAGTGGTCAACCAGGGCCTCATCTGCAAAATTGATATGGAGAAATCTTATGAGCCTGTTAATTGGGTCCTCCTGGTTTATGTGTTAGACAAAAAGAATTTTGGACAGGCTTGATGCAAGTTGAACATATGCTGCATTGAGATGTCTAAGTATCCACCAAGGTGATCCCCATTGTCCACTCTTTTTTCATCTGTATTTCTGAAGTTCTACGTACTCATAGAAAGTCTGTTCAAGGAGGTTATTTGGGAGGCTTTGAAGTTAGTAGTGCCGGCAAAAAGACCCCTCCTTCAATTTGCAAATGATACATTATTTTTATGCAACCAAGAGCAATCTCATTTGTTGTATATTAGATGTGTGCTCAGATGGTTCAAGGAGGTCTTGGAAATTCATATCAAGCTGACAATCTGGCAAATAGTGAACTGATGGCTGTCTGTTTTTTGGGCTCAGCTGTAATTGTTTTTTGTTTTTTGGGTGTCTAGCGACAGTTTTGGGGAGTTAAGCTATTAAGCTATTTTAGCTCCCTTTCTACGTATTTTCAATCTTGAACCAATTAATGAAATCTCTGTTATTGGTAAAAAAAAAAGTGAACTGATGGCTGTGGGAAAGTGCAAAAGTTTGAGAATTTGGAATCAATGTTTTAAAAAACGACCCGGAAACAGAACCGTTCTGGCCACCGGTTTCTGGGTCGATGGTTTGACTGTCCGATTCGAATTGATGGCCCATTCTGACAACAAAAATTAAAAATAAAAAACGGCCAAAAACCGTTGAACTGGTCGACAATTCGACCGCCTGGGTCAACAGGTCGTTGACCGATTCAACAGTTTTTGGCTAGGGACCGGGTTTGGGGTAAAACGGAACTGGTTGCCTGGACGGTTCCTGGGCCGAACAGTCCGACTGTCTGGGTCAACGGTTCGAAAACCATGTTTGGAATAGGTGTTTGGTTGCCAAGTGGATAAATTTCCCTCAATGTAATTTAGGATTGCCATTGGGCATCTGATGCATTTCCCTCAATGTAATTTAGAATTGCCATTGAGCGTTTTGAAAGGAGATTGACACCATGGAAAGTTATGTACCTCTAAAGGATGGCAAACTCACTTCAATAAAAAGTGCTTTACAAACCTTCTTAACTATTTCCCTCCACAAAAGTTCCATCTAGTTGATTGGAACAAAATATGCATGACAAAATAGAAAGGCGGATTGGGTTTGAGAAAGCTTTGGCCAATCAACATCTCCCTACCTGGGAATGGTGGTGGAGATTTGGCTACTATAACTTCTGGCTTGTGGAGGAGGATTATGGTAGAGAAAGTATGGAAGACAAAACATAGGGTGGAAAAAGTCAGAAATTCTTACGGATGCACTCCTTGGAGGGGATTGAAAAAGGTTGCTTGGACAACTTCTGTAAAGGAATTAGATACCAGATTGAAGATAGGTCCAGAATAAGACTTTGGAGTGACTCATAGTGCGATAACCAACCACTGAAGGCTTTGCTTCTGTCCCTGTCCATCATATTTAGGTTTAAGGAAGCTCTACTAAGTGAACTCTTATGTCAGGACGCCTATAAAGGGTATTAATGACTAGGAGTGGATGAATAGGCAACTCTTTATGATGAGATTTTATCAAAACTAACCAAGGATTGGTTGCAAGGATGCTAGAAAATGGTTATGAGATTCATCTATAACCTTCTCAATGAAGTTTCTTTTTTACTTAAATACTGGAAGCCAAACTTTGGTAGCAAGTTTATATGGATACCTCAGGTCCCTTCAAAATTATTCCTGGTTGGGACAGTTACACTGGAGAAGTGCTGACTAGTGACAAGCTCATTAACAGAGATACGATCATTCAGGACCCTTCGTGTGCACAAAGTGAAGGGATGGATGTGTCTAGCAGCAACCTTTTCCTGCATTGCAGYTTCWGTCATGGATATAGTCTTATACTTTGGAAATTATGGGACCAGTTGGTGCTACCAACAATCACTTCATGGAATGATGGCTTATGTCAAAGCTTAGTATGAGGGGTACTGTCATGTAGAAATTAGCACCTAAGGCTATTGTTTTGACAGTATGTTCTAAGAGAAATGTCAGGGCTTTTTGAAAACAAACCATCACCAATTAAGGTGGTCCTAAGAAGGCTGATTGGGTTGATCTCATCATGAGTTGCATTTTACAAGGATTTCTGATTAGACTTTTTATGTTTTTGGTAAAGAGATTTCTGATTAGTCAGATTTCAGGAGTTTTCCATTTTGAGTCATTGCATGTATGTTTCATCTTAAAATAATAAATTAACCTGAACCAAAATACCACAGAAAGGTAATAAGGTTAACTGGGATGGACATGTTGCAGAAAGTCCATCTTATAACCAAGGGGATGTTTCAAGAATGACAGTCATGAAAAAATATTAGATGTTACTGCAATTAAATACATGGTATGAATATCATCTCATCATGATCATCATCATCTAAGCCTTGTCCCAACTATATGGGGTCACCGGGTCAGCTATATGAATCCTGTTTCACCATTCCATTCTGTTTAGTGCCATATCCATTGTTAATCTACGAGCACTTAAATTATTTCTTAGTACTTCCACCCAAGTCCTTTTTGGCCTGTCCCTAACTCTTCTAGCCCCTTCGACTTGTAATAGATCACCTCTTTTAGTGGGTGTTGTAGATGGTCTTCTATGCACTGGACCATACCATCATCTTAGTCTAGTTTCTCTCATCTTATCACCTATAGAAGCTACTCCTAGATTCCTTCATATGARTTCATTTCTAACCCTATCCTTTCTAGTTTTACCACTCATCCATCTAAACATTTGCATTTCTTCCACACTCATTTTTTGGATATGTTGTTTCTTAACTGCCCAACACTTTGCTCCATACAACATACCTGGCCTTACAACTGTTTTATAGAATTTTCCTTTTAGTGAAAGTGGTATTTGCCTATCACATAAGATTCCAGATGCACCCCTTTATATTTCCCATCCTACTCTAATTCTATGAGCAACATGCTCCTCAGTCTCTCCTTTGTTATGGATTATTGAACCACGGTAATGGAAGAGATCACATTGGGTTATCTCTTGGTCTTCAATCATAAGTTTACTTTGGTTTGCACTCCTATTATTATTTAATTTACATTGCATATACACTGTTTTAGTCCTACTTATTTAAAACCTCTTGCTTCTAATATAGTTGTCTTGTTGTTCGTAAACATAATGTCGCATTTAATTATTTGTTAGTTTCATCAATTAATACCATGTTATCAATAAAAATCAAGCATCATGGGACCTCCTCTTGAATATGTTTACTCAATTCATCTATGCCTAGTGCAAATAAATAAGGACTATGTGCTAAACCTTGCTGAAGACCACCCATTGTAATTGTAAAATTTGATGTCTCTTTTACAAGTGTTTTGAGATTGGGTTTTGCACCCCTCATACATATAACATATCCTTCATTAGGTCTATTTGGCACTCCTTTCTTTTCCCAAATCCACCATATTACCTCTCTAGAGACTCAATCATATGCTTTCCCTAGATCAATGAAAACCATATGAAGATTTCTCTTCTTCTCTCCAAACTTTTCTATCAATCATCTTAATAGAAAGATGGCTTCCAAGGTTGATATCCCTAGCATCAACCCAAACTGGTTTTCTAATATAATTGTTTCATGTCAAAACCTTTGCTCAATTATTCTCACCCAAAGTTTCATAATGTGGCTCATAAGTTTAAATCCGTGATAGTTATGAAGATACTTATGAAATTTAAAGCCTACATACATACTTCATCATAGAAAAGATACTTATGAAGGCACTTACATCCATCAATGATCTAGGATTGTCACCTATTATCATGCCTCATCTATTTACATCTATCAATGATCTAGGATTGTCCAACCAACAATTAAGCATGTTTTCAACTGTTCAGAGACTCTTTCTACTACATTTCAGTGATGCCCCCACTGTAAACCAGTATCTAATTCTACAACAAAGCAATATTAAAGCATTGTGTTAGTAGACATGGATTATAACATGGGAGGTACTGATCCTTATTTGTCTAGTAGGAAAAGATATAGCATGTTGGAGAGGCTTGGAAATAATCAACTTACTGCTTTCAGAATTAAATTACAATAGGAAAAAATCATGGAATCCAAATATAACAAGCAGTTTCTGCAACCACAAGCATCACTTTGCAATCTAGGGCTGTGTGTTTCAAAGACTGAAATTCCCAAATCTTGAAAATATGATTTCTGAAATTCTAACGTTTATGTTTGGATGAGGCTAGAGACATCAGTTGCAACTTGGGCAGCCTAAGGTTGAGCTTTTTTTTTTTTAATTTTAATGGGACCAGCGCAAGGCCCCAGGCCCAAAGCTGTGTACAGTCTTCAATTTGGGTAGCCAAATTGCATCCCTATTTATCACACCAAATTGTCTCTTCTCTAACTGAAAATATGCCTTTTGGGTTTTGAAAAATGCATCTTTAGCAGTTTAGCTAGTCCACCAAAGTGAGCATCAGTGATTGGTTTGGTGCTTGTGGAGTTTAAAACTGGTAAAATCTTTTAATCAGTAGTCAAATTTCTTAAAAGCAAAGCATCGATGGTGTGATAAAGGTGTAGGGAGTCAGTTCCACAATCGCTGTCTTCAACCAGGTGCAATTCGTATTTGCCGGAATTTCACAAGCATCAGGAGATACCCAAAAAAAAAAAAAGAAAAAGAAAAGAACTTTGGAAAAATAAAATATTATTGAACAATCCATGGATCAGTTAACACTTTGAATTGAAGAGTTAAAAGGTGGTCTCTGCATTGACTGGTCAACAACAGGGAATTGCAGTTGCAGTGAAGGTGAATTACATTTGTACTCGGGATAGTTGTTCGCAATGGTCATTCAAAAGCAGCACTGGATATCCACATCATCCATAACTTCTGGGGCCTATTAAGGGAAAAAACACCTGTACTGCTAGTTTTTTCAAATTCTGAACTCCATTCCTAACATGTAATTTCATGGAGTTGGACCAAATTCCAACTCTGCCTCTTAAGTCTGATGTAAGGCCCCAAACTCCTGTACCAAGAATTGTGTCCCAACTGCAAACCTCCAATTTCCTGCACCAAGCTTAGCCTCAATGTTTTGCGCATTCTATGGTTGTAATAAAATCTCCCAAACCACTGTATGATTGAAAATCCCCTTGACCTCCCAAAATGCAATTTCACAAGCAAACCAAGAAAACAAAAGAAAAAAACAAGGATCAAACAGTCACATTTAGAAACCTGGCCAACACAGTAAATTCAGAAATGATACAAATCATGCAACTCAACGCTGACTAAGATGAGGTGCTGCTCTGTTCAGATGAACTCTGTGATGTCTCACAAAATTTGTTCAGTAGGAAGTTGTACATAATCTACCCCTCCGAGTTGCGTCTAACCGAGACTTCACGCAAGCAAGTTTCTCGCTTGCGATTGAGAAATGTCTTTATTTAACAAATCATATCTTCTTGATCCCCCATAATCTAATTTAACTGAGAATCCCCATTGTATTAATGAGAGCAACAATCATGATTGCCTTATAAATAATCAGCCAAACCCCAAATGCCCTGACCGGTGCGAAGATCTTATCTGCTCTACAATCTCACCACAATCCACCGAAACAACAACTTCCCTTCAAAACACTTCGGGGAGAAAACAAGTGAATCCAATTCCAACCAAACGAAGTAATTCCAGAGTACACCGAGGATTTGCAATTTCTTTCCAAAACATAACAGCAAGAGAGAGATTTGCAATGAAATAATAATAAAAAAAAAAAAAACTAGAAATCCGATTTATCAAACTATACTCAATTCAAAAAACACTCAAATGGATACCTTGGGCTGGATCCTAAACGCTTCCTTGTAAAGCAGGCGAGACCCTCTGAAGATCAATTTTTGCAAATTTCGAAGATTTTTGCGCGCCAGGTGGAGAGAGCATCCATTTTTTTTTCTATTTATACAAATTTCGGAGGCAAATTTATCTCTATCTGATATTCTGATATTAGATCAAACGGTTAGAATCGTTTAATCTACCTGCTAGGAATATTACATTTACTCTGCGCACAATGCGCAGTACGCACCAAGAGCTGTGTAGCCTAACCAGCCCAAAACTTAAAACAACTCCGGTGTTAAAAAAGTCTTCTTCAATTCAAAATTCAGAATCTCTCTCCCCTAACCCTTCCTCCCCCTCCCCGTCTCTCTCTCTCTCTCTCTCTCTTTCTCTCTGATGTCGAGCCCTTCTGAGACACCGACGTCAAAGCGGAAGAAACACTCTCCCAGCAAGGATCCCGCCGAGAAGCGACGGAAGAGCTCCTCAAAACCGTCGGGGATAGCGTCACCAGAGGAGAGGAAGAGCATTCCGTTCAAACGGGTCTTCTCCGAAGAGGATGAGATCCAACTCCTTAAAGCCTTCCTCGAAATCAGCAAGACGGCTAAAGCCTCTGAATCTCCTGCATCCGTGGCCACTATACTCTTCGATCGCGTTAAGGACTCCCTGAGTTCTGAATTTAGCCGGACTCAGCTGATCGACAAGCTCCGTAAGTTGCGACTGAAGTACAGTAAACAAGTGGAGAACATGTCATTCATCAAGACCCCTCATGAAAGGGACCTTTTTGAGATTTCTCACAGGATCTGGGGCGAGGAACCGGAGAAGGAACAGGAACATGCAGAATATTCTGCGGAGGGGGAGGAGGAGGATAAGGAAGAGGAGGAGGAGGAGGATAAGGAAGAGGAGGAGGAGGAGGAGGAGCTACCAAGAGAGGTTACTCGTAAAGAGAAGGCGAAATCGAAAACCCTAAAAAAGGGGAAGGAGAAGCCGAAAAGAAAAGTTCTTACTACGCCAATTGAAAATGGAGAAGCAGTGGTGGCTGAAGAACCGGCTGAAAAGGGACTGACCGTCGGGAATGATGAGCAGACCAAAAATGGGGAAACCGTTCAGGATACTAAAGTAAGCTTGAGGAAATTTCCATATGTGGTTGAAGAGATGCTTCGCCTGCCCGGGAACGCAATGGTGAGAGAAGGTTTGCGGTGTGTGGACGCGTCGCTTGTGAAGCGTATGAACGAGGAGTGGCGGTTGCAGCAGATAGCAGAAGCTGAAGTTCTGGCTAAGCGAGCTGAGTTAATTCGGCTGCACAGTAAGCGGATTTTGGAGGCTATTGTCTCTTCTTCGCCCGAGTGATGTATCGACCAGTGAAATTGGGCAAGTTTGTTTTTTGGTAAAGTCTATCTCGAAATGTCTTTTATCCGCGTTATTGTACATGGAAACATAGCCTTTTCTGTAATTCCCATTAGGAGCGTGCGGTTCATCTGATTGCTAATCTATTTATTAGTGTTGTAGCGTTTCCCCAGTTTTTCTTAGTTTCTTATATTCAGTGAGTAAACTAGACTGAAATTTTGACATCTTGATAGTAGTTACGAGCTATTTTTTTTTTTTAATCTGGTTCTGGTGTAACTTGTCTTTCCAGAATTCTTAGAATTGGAATTCGAATGAGCCTCAGTGTTCTCGGAATAACTTTTAGGATACCACTTGATCTTATAATAGAAATCTTAATCGCAAAATATGATCGTGGGTTTAAAGGTTTGCATAAATTGGACTTGGATTTTACGACTGATAGGATTTTATAGAGTTCCTCGTTCGAGTCCTGTTTAGACGAAACAAGTGCATGTTGCACAGCCCACTGGCTTGGAAAAGGAGGGAGTACAACTAATTAAACTATAGAAATACTCTCAATGTTGAATGTTTGGCCCATCATAGATTGGTTACTCCAGGAGATTTTTAGTATCTATCTCCAAAAGGATTTTCGTATTCCTTTCTATATTTCTTTGTTCTTTTTTAATCTCATTTCCAAACTTTTACCATCTAAAGTCTTAACATATGGGTTAAAATCTTAATGATACGGTTGGTCTATCTTGGAGGTGAATAAATAGTTGGTCAAAACTCAAGGGCTGTGATGGGATCAGGGGAAATTTGGATTCTGAATTCTTTTTGTCTTGATTCTCTGGAATTAAATTTGCTCAATGGTAATGTTACCTAGAATTCTATTCCAGATTTTCTCATTAGCCATTTAAACGAGGACTTGTACTAAAACACTGAATTTTGATGGATGAAAACTAGCTTTGTTGGCTTTCAAAAAATAAAAATCAAGTTAAATCCCCCCAACCTACAATCCCTTGTCATTCCTTTTATCATCAATCAATCTGTATGTGCATATGTAAAATGTAATTGACATTTGACAATGTAAGCAGTTCCTCCCTTTTGTGCTTCAAGACCCCCCAAAATTTTGTCATTTTTTTGAATAAAAATTGTACAAAATATGATTAAAGAGGACATCTGGTGCATCTTGTACATATATGAAGAAGCTGTTATAAACACTGATGCCTTTGGTCATTGATCAGTCATCAGTGCATGAATTTCCTTAAAACTGTCAATCCCTAATCTTAACCATAAAATGCAGATACCTGCCTTGACCTCACATTTCAGGTTACCATATGAAACATCTAATCCATTTATTTTCCTATCCCCATTATTTATCTCTCTATTCATTCTACTCTTCTCTTTCCTCCCCACCATGGAAATGAAGACAGAGATTTGCTTCTTGTTTTTATGCTTGTTCTGTGATCATGATGATTAAATCCAACTTTATGTGAAACTCAGCTTTGTGGTGGTCTAACGCAAGCCTACTCAACCTGATTTCTGCTTGGATTTGAAAAATTGGGGACTTGGAAGTTGGATTAGGCAAACTCATCATCTGAAACACCCTTTGTATTACCATTTTATTTATTGAGGACGGTAAATTTATGAAAATCCAGCATACCACAACAAAGTAAGAGTAGATATAATATGTATCCAATGGATCAGTTTTTTTTCTTCAGTACGTAATATCTCAAATAAAATGTGTCCTTTTGGAAGAGCAACCTCCTCAACTGAATTGGGTGTGAATTTCGTCGAAAGTTGAAACCTTTCCCTACCTTTTCCTTCAAACCAAACATAGCCTGAGGGATTCTCTTTTACATCTGCAAAATATGCCAAGAACTAAGAAACTGTCCGTTTTTTTTGACAGGAAAACTTGATATGAAGCATCAATTTGGACTCCCCCTAACAATCAGTTTTAGCAGAGATAAAACACCATTAAGGCACTTTGTCTGGAAAACTTGGTATAAAGTTTCAAGCATATGATAGTTACCTATGTGCTCTCGGAGGTATAAACAAATCGGGTGTTACCTAGATTTAGATCTGGTCCTATTAATATTTGATTTGAATTGAATTTTATCTTTTGCATTCTGTCATCATCATCTAAACATTATCCCAATCATAAGGGACTGGCTACATGAATCCTGTTTTGTCAATCCATTCTATTTAATGGCATATCCTTTGATTAAGTTGTGAGTGCTTTAGTCATTTCTTACTGTGACTAAAGAGAATGGCAATCCATTCTCTTTTAGCCCCTTCAACTTGTAACAGATTACTTTTCATGGGCGCTGTAGATGGTTTTCTATGCACATAACCGATCCATTGTAGTCTACTTTCTATTAGTGGAGCTGTTCCTTGGTTACTTCAAATAACTTCATTTCTTCTGACCTTATCTTTTTAGATTTTCCACTCATCTGTTTCAGCACATCACTAATAACTTAAATTAAAAATTTCAGAATAGTATACTTGCTAATAAATGAACTAAATGAATTAGATGTATACTACTCACAAGATGAGTTAAAAAAAAAAGTCCATGAAACTTGAGCTAGAGCATTAAATGAAAATATAATGTTTCAACCATGTTAATGAAACATATTGGTAATATTATACAAACATATGCGCATAAATATTATTACACAGATTTTAAAAAGATTGAATTGGGGTGTGGGTCCATGCAATCCGGGTTTCAAACTCAAATACAGATATATGCAGCCTCTGTAATCTTGTAGATGGTTCCTATGTGCATCCTCCCAATAGTCTTAGATATGCTCATATGACAGTTCCATTGGTGGGCCAAAGGATAAAATCCTTTCGATTGGAGGATATGACTTTCAGGTAGAATTTATCAAAATTGGGTACCATGTCTTTCCACATCATAGATTTTTCCTTTATTTTGAATTTATTGAATTAAGGAAAAAGTCAGAAACATTAATTACAGCAAAAGTTGGGGGAATTAACTATTTCCCTTCAACCGAACATTTTTTGTCTTGCTAAGAAATCGGCTACACAGTTACACCAATAAAGTTCCCACTGCCGTAGCTCTACTTGCTCCCAATGGTGTGAGACTCTAGACTATATATTTATCATTCAGTATTCTGTTTGGTTGTGTTGTAGAGATCACATTTGCACCCCACAATGGGCGCTCTTCAAACGCCTCACATGGGAACAATCTCCCAGGGTTGTCAGTGGGAGATGTTCCCAATACACGGTTGAGATATGCTGTGGGGTGCAGATGTGAATTCGTTGTTGCATGCGTGTGTGGGATTTCCTTTTTTTTCCTTTTGCGAAGAGCTATTTTGGGCTGTTCTTACATCCAGCATCTATGGCTTGCATGTAATGAGTTGATCTTTGATGGTGTTTCATTCAATCCCACCAGTGTTATTTCTAAGGCTAATGCTTCTATTGGCATTGAGTGCTAACCCAAACACACTCAGTCTTGGTGTAAACCTCTTATGGGGAGAATTAAATGTTGATGCTGCAGTTAGCAACGTTAAAGCGGCTGTGGGAACAGTTGTTTGTGATCATAAGAGAGGCTTCCTGTTTGCTACACCCCTTTGTTCTCCTCCTGAGGTGGAGTCCAGAGCTTTTCTTGCATGTCTGCTCTTTGCTGGCTGATGAGTTAGCTTTCATCTACAGTAATTGAATGTGATGCCAAATGTATTGTTAAGTTCCTGTTGGGGGATTACTTTGATCCACCGTGGCAGCTTCAAACCACCTTAGTTGATCGAAGTAACTTCAACACCTCTCTCGCGTAAAATCCTAGGACCGCTAATATGCTGCTCATGTTGTAGCTAAGAAAGGCATGGCCTCTGGATAGAACTCATAATGGTCAGTCGTACCTCATTTTCTTGTTTTTACTTTTGTAAGGGCCGTTTCCTTTGAGATAACTTGAATGGATTTATCTACGGGTTTCTTTAAAAAAAGGGTAAATTATAGATAACTATTCTGTACTTTGGGGGTAGTGATAGATAGGTATTTTGAACGTTCAAATACAACACTTGAGTAGCCTGAATTCCCAGAAATAAACACTCTAACCTGGGCATCGACCTGTAAAAGGGAGAGGTTCACGGGTCAGAGGTTCAATTGGGGTTGAACCGTGATGACATTATATATTGTCCTCTTTTGTATTTTTTAAACCATATTGCCCTTCTATTAGTGTATGGAACTCTAAATTGTAAACCCTTTCTCCCTATTTTTCATTCTTAGGCTTGAATTACAACAAATGTAGATAAATCAACAAAGAAAAAGGGTTTTATTTTCATGTTTGATTTTTCATAGGGTAAATTACATATAGGGACCTTGTACTTTGGGGGTAGTGACAGGTACTTGAGTATCCTGACCTCCAAACCTGGTTTATTTTGAAATTCTTATTTTTATTCTTAGATTTCATTCTCGGGTTTGAACTATAGAAAATGTGGATCAATCTACAAATTAGAGGAGTTACATTCTTAGGTTTGATTTTTCTATTTTTGAAATCATATTGTCATTTCTCCTCTATGAAATCGTAGCTTGGAGATCTTCTTCATAAGTTTTTATTTTTGAAATCTTTATCTTCTCAAATTTCATTCTTAGACTCTCTCTCCCTCTCTCTCTTTATATATATATATATATATGTGTGTGTGTGTGTATATATGTATGTATGTATGTATGTATTTACGTATATATGTATAGGCATTTGGTAATTTTATTCTACACCATAAAGTGGATTAACAGCACTGGCCCACAATGTCTATTTCTAGGAGTTCAAGGTACTCAAGTGTCACATTTGAAAGTTTAGGGTACCTATCTGTCACTACCCTAAAGTGCATGATGCCTATCTATAATTCATCCAAATGAAAGTGTAAGGGCAATGATGAGATCACAAGAAAGGGTTTGAATTTGAAGTTATTTTTGAGTTATATTAGCATGTGAAATTCATAGAATATGAAAATTTGGAAAAAAACCTCATCCTCTCATTTCATGGGAGTTGAAATCATCAAGTGAGACCCCGACATAAAATGGCATACATGCCAAACTGATCTGACCCTATAACAGAGGCTCTAGGTCTGAATTTTAGTGTGGATTGTTAGAATTTGAATTTCCTCTTTACACTCACCTCACAACACTTACAACTGTGCATTGGAAGTCTCTTCATGAATGAAAATATACAAGTACCAGAGATGTTTCCAATATGCAACTAAAATATACTATGAGATGGGTGTGAGGAGGAAATCCATATTTGAATTGTTAATTGGATAAGTTCTGTACCCACAATTTCAGTCTCAATTATAATGGGATTGAAATTGGGTTTACTTCTTTCAACCTAACCCAACTTTATAATAAGGCCAATTCTGTGCCTGCCAATGTTATTAACTCCCACATGGATGAGTTCGGATGTAGTCCCAACATCCAGTGTAGTCATGCATTGGGAATATCTGCCTTGTCTTTCATAGCAAGATATGTTCTTGATGTACAGTTGTAATGGCTGTTGGGGGGCCGATTGTTGGGACCAGATCCAGACTCCACATTGACTTGGCTCAAATTTCTGAGCCAAATGCAATTTAAACTTTACAAATTGAGCATTAAACTTGCACCCTTCTCATAGTTTACCACTTTACCTATTATAATTTCATATTTTCATAATTGTTTAAAGATTTGTTGTCAAATCTGTTTTAGTAAAAATATGAAAATTTTCTTTAACTAAAATATCCCAATTTTTTAATTTGGTCCCTCTCTAAATGTAAGGACAAAAATGTAATTTGAACAATCACTTTTCTCCTCATTTAAATTCCTCTCATTAAGTTTTATATATAAGGTATTAGTTCCCATTAACATTCATTGCATCCTATTATTGATTAAAATACCCTTAGTTATGAATTTGGTCCCTCTTTTATTGTGAAGGCACAAAATGTAATTTGAAATACAACATTTCTCCTCATTCAACTCCCTCTCATTAAGTATTATATTTAGGGTATTAACTCACACTATTTCATTAAGTCCTATATTCAGTAACTATGTTAAAGAAAAATAAGTGTAACAACCAATAAATATTTTCATTAATGATTGAAATAAGATACAAATTTAACCAATATGAAAATAAAGTTGTTTTCTTGTTTGGTGGTGAGTCAACAATTCAACTTTTTTATTAAACAATAATAATAATTAAAAAGATGAAAACACAAAATAATAAAAAACAAAAATGTAGAAAACATTTGGGCACATCTCTACTATTATGTGTCCATTATATTAAATAAAAATAAGTGTGAAAAATAAGAATAATTTTTATAGACATAAAAATATAAAAAAAATAGTAGGAAATGTTTGAAACATATTATTTATTGTCATCATCATAAAAAATTGTCACATGCAAAGTATGTTGTCAAGGCCCGTTTGAATAGAGCTACAAAAAAGCTACACGTTGGAGGTTTCATGGGCTTTCTATAGACTTCTAGACAAGTCTAGAGGATTCTAAAGGCTTCTAGAGTCATCTTGGAGAGCATGGAGTCTTCACGTGTGTAATCTTCTAGACCCATCTTGAGTATTCTAGTAATGTATAGAGTATTCTAGAGTTGTGTAGAGAAGTCTAAAGTCTAGAATATCTTAGGGTTATCCTTGTAAATTTCTAGCGAGGAAATATTATAGGAAGATGTCTAAAAAGTCCCACTTGAGGAGGTGGAACATGTGGTTGATATGAGGAGGTGTAAAATGTGTGGTGGAGATAAAGTGCAATCCAATGACTATTGCAAAGAGGTGGAAAAGGGAGGGTTAGGATTGCACTCCAAAGGAGGTGGAAGTGCCTACAAATATGACCCCCTCCATTTTGTAAAAGCATCTAAGGGAGAGTATCCAAGAAGAGCATTGAAGGAGTCCCTCCAATAGAGTAATAAAGGTATCCAAGAGTAAGCCTTGTACCCTTATCTTTGAGCTAATAAAGAATGCTTTTGAGTTAAGCCTTTGTGAGTTTTCTGTCTTTAAAACTTGTGAGCTTTGCCTTAGTGTGTGAATTGGGGGTGAGCCCATTTGGTCCAAGAGCCAAAGAGAGTGCTCAAGGAGTTAGGCTGACTTGTGGAAACAAAGAGTGCAATCAAAATGCTGCACTTGGCTAGGAAGGAGACTAGGCATGTGATAATATAAGCACTTATTAGTTACAACTAAAGCTATGTTTGGTTTAAAGGAAAAGGTTGGAAAAGGAAGGGAAAGACAGGGAGCCTATACAAGGTTTGTAAAGGTTTCCCTGCATTTTCCTTCAAACCAAACATAGCCTAAAGGCATGTTAGGTAAAATCGGGCCAGACTTGATAAGCCAATCAATAATAGGGTCCAATTTTAGGTTTATTATTCATAGATCCTATAGATTCCAAGTCCGGTTGCTCAATTTGAAGAATTTCAACTATATTGGGCTTAATGTTAGTGAAAACAGAAGCTATATTGAGGGTTAGGTTAGGAAGTTAAGATTTAGGTCAATTGAAAATTTAACAAATTCCTATCCCAACCGACCTATGTTGCATCCCTGATCCTGGATGTCTAGGTTGAAATTGGATCTAATATATTCTCTTATCAGGCCATAATCAACTCTATCCTATTTTAGTGAGCAGTGACCCAACCAATGTTGTAGCTGACAAGAATGTGAACTCTTGTTTTGGGCTTTCCACTACATTTTGTTTACGATTGCATTAGCCAAGCCAAGCCCAGCAAAGCAAGCAAGTACCACACCATTTTTCCATCTACAAAATCAATAATTAATGGATAAGACTGAAAAGAGAGAAATTGTAAATCCCCCCACTCTCTATTATTCTTTGGCTTCTCTGTAAGTATCTTTTGTCTTGGTGTGTAGAGTCTTTTGGTATTTCATTCTTATACATTGAGCATCCTCTTTGCAAGAGAAGAGTTTTCATCAAACTTGTGATGGGTGATGAAGCCAACATGTGGCATTGAGCCGGGGGCAGAATAGTCTTCATCGAGTTTTTCAGCTCATCTTTCCTTCTTCACTCTATTAACTTGATTGTTAAAATATTTTTCCCCAAGAAATCACCCTAGGGTCTTTGACACACCTTTGTGTTTATGGGTGTTCTCTAGTGTCAAAGAAGTACTTGAAACCACTTAATGTGTGATTCCATGTCTTAAAAGAAGTACTTCTTTTAAGTGTTCTCAAACATGGCCTTAACAATGTCATGGGTCTACTTATTTTTCATTAGTCTACTTTTCATATTTGTTCACGTTTCCTGTTGCATAGAGTAGTAGATGCGCCAGATTTTGCTCATATTCATTACCAAAAAAAGAGAGAGATTTTGCTCACATTCTATTTATCTCTTCTTTTCATTTCTTAATTCTCATAGTTAATTATAGCCAGAAAAAAAAAAAAAAAGAAAAAGAAAAATCCCATAGTTAATTTGCACACTTTTACATGAGGTTTTATCCCCAACAGCCACCATTTAAGCATTTCAGAAACAAAGTTCGAAATTTCAGTTTTTTTCTAAAATAATAGCAAGGTGTGAGGGGAAGAAAACATACTCAAAATAAGGAGAAAAACTAAACCCTGAATTTCTTTTTTATTTTATTTTTGTATTTTTGTCACCATAAATATAAATCTTCTGAATTTCTGAATTCTGATCCATGTTTCAGGATACATCAAAATCAGAGCCAACACCATAAACCAAGCAACATGGGTTATAAAAGCAAATGAAAAACCAAGACCAATTAATCCCTCACTAATCAATCAATCCAGACTAAGCAATTGAAGTAGGAAGCAAACGCAGTATAACAATTTCATTGCAAACCAAGTCGAGAAAGACAACAAGAAACCTACTCCACCTTACAATGAAAACAACCATATTCTCTCATATCAGAAATCCTAATTCTTTTCTTCTCTTTTCAAGACGAAAAGATTCCAAACTAAACGCAGGGAATCCTGTATAATCAGGGAAAGGGAAATGGCTTCTTTTTCCTTCCTTCCTCCGGGGGAAGCTTTTCTGGGTTAACAATTTAACATTCACTTGGCGAGCAAGTGCTGTTGAACGTGGTTCTCCTGTTGCTGTTGGTAGTTGAGTGGCCTCCTAAAGAGCATGATGTGTGGCTCGGGACGATGGATCGCGTAGTGAACCCACCCTCGACTCTGCTGAACCCCGACCGCCCTCCATTCATTCTGATAAACAAAATACAAATCAACACTCATTTTATGCTTTCCGTGAATTCATTGAACCATGTCTTCAATTAGATTTGATTCTTCGTTTCTAGTTTCTACTTACTTCAGAGAGAAGACGATTCTTAGGCAGCAGTTTGGCCACTTCAGGAGGAAGAACCACATGCCTGAAAAAAGACACAATCGGAGAAATTTTTGTAATCCTAGAGCATAACCAACCATAATCAAATCGCGAAAAACGTAAAATGGATTCGATTTCTTCATGATCCGAGAGAGGAATTTCGATACCTGTATTCACAAGTGTCATCGAAGTATTTGTCGGAGTACTGGATCTGGCCCATATCTATTTTCTTGGTACAATCCTATTTTAGTCGCTAGTGGAGGAGAAGAGACCAGGAAACAGAGAAGAACCGAGTATATCGGTTTATTGATTTTGGGAATCAAAGAGGGAAGAAAGAAAACACAGTGAAGAAGGAAGATGAAGCGGGTGATGATGAGAGAATGGAAGAAGAAAATTCAAAATTTTCACCTGAAGAAGCTCCGTCTCCGTCTCTCGATTTGCTAGAATTGAGGGAGTGCGGATTCTATCCATAAATAACGGATCAAAAAAGGGTTGTTCAAGAAGCTACTGAACCGTTTGGAATTTGATTTTCAAATTTTAAATTTGGCTGATTGAACTAGTAGTTCATATGTAGGAGTCATGGCGACCAAGACTTTTGGTTACTGGATCTGTGGATCAAGATAGCAAATCAATGCTCCATTTCCATCCACGCTTGATTGTTTCCGTGGCTATTGACGCATGGAAAATTCCGTGGCTATTGACCCTAATGGCCTGGTCTATTAGGCTTAAAGTTGATGTTTCATTTCCCATATCCAAAAATGAATACTCGGTGTTCATAAAAAACCGAAAAACCGAATCGAATCAAGAAAATCAAACTGCAAAATGCAGTTAATTGAACCGATCGGTTTAGTTTCGGTTTGAGATTTTTGAAAAACCGAAAGACCGGTTCAGATTTTTGTTAATCTACAAAAAAATCGATGGTTAACCGAACCGATTAGTATATATATTTTTATGTATATTTTTAATATGTCACATATTTTCTTTATATTATATATAAATATATACTTATATTATATTTATAATGATCTATTTATAAATATATTATATGTATTATATATTTTTCAAATATTCATAATATATTATATATCATTTATTATTTATTATATAATATTATACATATATTTGTATAATATATATTATTAATATAAAAAACCAAAAATCCAAAGAACTAAACCGGTCAAAAACCAAAACCAGCGGACTGGTTAACCGGTGGTACCGGTTCGGTTTCGGTTTGGAGAATTGGAAAAACCAGTACCACTGGTTTGGTTTACAAAAAAATGCCATGGTTCGGTTAACCAAACCGTGGACACCCCTACTCATCATATCTGGTGGTTTTGGAGCTTTCAAACTCTCTCTCTCTCTCTCTCTCTCTCTCTCGTGCACGCTTCGCCTGTTTCACACAAGTATTATATATACATTTTGTATATATTTGGCATCTGCATATACAACATCGTTTTCTGATAAAATGTGTGAGTTGGAAGCAACAGTGTCTGCTTTTTTCTTTGGAAACATTGTTGCCAGGTAGGACGTTTCTCGGGGCAACAGTAACACCTATTTGGTACCAGAGCTCCATATCTGTTTTAAGCATTGGTACCCATTATAGGAAGTCCATGTCACTACCACATCATGTCCTCGTTGGCAGCAATAAGCTCCAAATTGAGAAAACGTCAAATTTAGTGTTTCCCCAGACCATGCCTTCTCGATTTCTAAGGCATGGTTTGGAACACCGTTTTTTATGAAAAAAAAGTTCCAAACATGTTACCGTTTTCTGGAGCACCAATTTTTCTAATGTGGCACTGATGTATCACCATTTTCTAGAGTAATGGCACCGATGCCAAACACTGCCTTTGACTATTGCATTCAAATCATGTTTTTTCGGATAAATTGAAATTCAAATAGGGAATGAATTCGAGCTTAGTCAAGCCAAATATCCAACTATTCGATCTCGGTTTGTCAAAAAAAAAAAAAGAGGCTCGAGATCAATTAAGATCCCAACTTCCTATACAAAAATAAAAACTTATACATATAAAATATAAAAATTATATATGTAAAAGTAATATTATATATTTAAACTCAATTAGACTTATTAGTTTCACAAGCCAAGTTATATTGGCCTGAGATTGGCTCAATTAGCAAATAAGCCTATATATTGAACTTAAATTCGACTCTAAGTTCAATTTTGATCACGCTTAATCGAGCTTTTCATTAGCGGAGCTTGAATAATTCATGTCCACTCCAAAGTTCAAACGCTTACCATCGTCTACATTGGGTTATGTGCGTGGGGTGTTGGAAGAAAAAACCTTTTTGTCATTTTCCCAGTAGGGGGTGTTTCCACTTCAGGTCTCCCATCTTATTTGTTTGAAACTATAATAAATAATTGTGCATTGAGTTTTGTGCAAATCAACTTACTTTCCCAATTTCAAATGCTACAAATCAAATATAAACATTGAGATTTAAATACACCAATGTATCAAACAACATCTTCCTTAACCAAAAAAAATAAATGTATCTAGTAATTAAGGATGGATGGTATGTTCAATTTACACATCAAGCTGTTAAATAGCCTCCTAGTCCTATTGTCAATTACACACAACTCCCACTGAATCACCTTTCAAATACCATTTGGCTAAGTTGCAGGTCTCAGTTTCCATTTCCATGTATACAACCCAAGACTAGTGTACAAATTAGTATGCATGTCTGCACAAATCCTCTTTGTTAATGGCGATTGGGAGATTCAGATGACAGATAAACTCTTTCCAAGAGGAAGAAGCCATTGGTCCCCGTCAATATATGAAATATCAATATATGGACTTACTTCAGGAGCACTTAGTCGTTTACTGTATGCTGTCCTGAGTGTGTAGTTTGCTCCTGCTCCAACACACTCATATTCCCCAAAGAAGACAGTCCTGTTACACATTTACAGAAGCAGAAATTTAATCAAAATCAGAACTTCCAAAGCATAAGAAGAGAAGTAATTGAAGGTAGGTAGTCAACCACAGACCCATCTCTGGAGGGATCATTCCAGTCGCTCCATCCTTCTGGAGCTATGATATCAGACATGAATGTTCTGGCAAAGATAACAGAAGCATAGGCGCCCCAAGCTCGGCCGAGCAACACCCTTCCTGAGCCACCAATGCTGCAATTCACAAAAGAAAACCCTGTCTTCTCATTCGTCGACCGCCTTTGATGTGCTGTGATGGATCCACTGATCTCCATGGGAACCTGCTTAGCTATTGAATTAATTGTGCAGTCCTGACCATTATATTGCAGAGTTGTAAGGACAGAAATTAGTCATTAGATAATTATAGGCTTGAAATATGCTGCTGAGGTTGGACATTTCATCCTGTATACCTTACCTCATAAAGAGATCTGGCATTCCCAAATATGAAATCAATAGAGCCTTGGATGAAGCATCCTTGGAAGTAATGCCTCCCCTTATCATCATGAAGCGTGTCCTGTGCACCATAGAAGCCACAACGATAAAATGCAGCCTGGTCACCTGCAATCCTCACTGCTATTGCCTGAGCACCAACATCCCCAGGAGATGCTGAAGGAGCTGTGTTCTTCACCAACATCCAAAATAAAATAGACCCAGAAATTAGCTATGATTCTGTGACCAAATGGAAATCAGTACAGATCTCACACAGACTAACCAATGGGATAAACAGACAAGTACATTACCTGAAAGCTAATGTCACAAGCTATGAAGTTGGGAGCAAAGATGGCAACTGAGGCACTGTAGATGGTCCCTCCTGTGGAATTTGCAGTGTCATTCCATGCTATGGATGTCTTGAGATAACCCTTTCCTTGGAATATCAAATTTGTCTTGTTAGATTGCACAACTACCTTCTCCCTGCAACCATATTGAATTTGCATACGCTTTAGCATCTGCAATTAATTAAATATGATATCTATTCTCAACCAATTAATCTACTGTAGCATTACAAAAATCCCTGTTCTCATTGAAATGCTAGATTGTTAGATAGAAAGCTCAACTGGAGTTAACTAAATTAGAGTTTTCCCTGATCAAAATACAAAGTCCGACCCATCTGCTTGCTAAAATGCATTCTCCAACTACATAACTACACTAAAACGTAAATGCCCAAATGGGTTGATTTGATTCTTTCAAATCAGAAGCAGTTTAGCAACCAGCAACAACTAAACCAAACATACGACAGGACGATAAATTTACAAATCAACAATAAATTAGAATTGAAAGACCTGTAAACTCCGGGATCAATTAAGATGAGAGTCCTGGTGGAGCTATATTCAGGGGCAGCATCTACTGCCTTCTGAACGCTACTGAAGTTGGCACATCCATTCAAATCCACCGTCAAGATAAGGGACCCATTATAGTCCAAAGCAACCCTAGACGCCCATTTGAAGTGATTGTCACAGTTGATCCTCCACCTCCTCACAGGACGGCGGGGGTGATAAACTCTTCCGGGAAAGCCACGCCTCATGAGAGAAAGGAAGACGTCAATGCCATTTTGCTTCACCAACCGATCGAAGATGGCAACTCCAAAACTGTAAGTTGTAATACTAAGGCCAGAAGAAGAAGAAGAAGGGATGGTGTTAAGATTGAGAGGAACTGGAATGGAAAGGATGACAATAAAAGCCGAAAACCAGAAGAAGAATTTGATTCTGTTTCTCATCACGAAAGAGTCGTTGCTGGGATGGTTGTTGTAATGGTTAACTTGTTCAGGTTGATGATACTATTTTGAGCAAGAGATGGCGGGGAGAGATTCCGTTCTGGGGAGGACTGAACTGTTTTATTGGTGTGCATGGCGGGATGAGTGTTAATAGGCGTGAGAGGAAAGAAATGTCTCTGTGAATATGAGTGGACTGATTCCCATTGACAATGACTCATGTTTCAACGAGAAGACGAAAGAATACATGGTGTATGGGAGAAAGCGAATGTTGGATTTAATCAGAAATTCAGAAGCAGGGTACAGTTTGAGATTTTTTACTTTCTCGATTTTTCCAGGAAATGGGGAGATGGAGTAGCAAGGTGGGAAAATCCGGATCCAACACCATCACACGAAACAACCCACTTGTGCATGAAAATGGTTATAGTGGGAACACGTCAAGCTTTAAGACCGTTACACCTCTGAGCTCTCTCACTCACTTCCCTTAATTAATTAATGCCCATTAAATTGTCATAATTGACCCTATAATTAATCTTCTTTAACACACTACTTATAAGATTAAGGGTAAAATATTAAATCCTCCCTTCATGTTTCATTTTAACAAAACCTCCATGCCCAATGTAGTTTTGAAAAAAAATTGCAGTTACCTCCCTTCCATTATTGTCTAGATTCATTAACAAAAACAAAACAAAGACATTATTGTCTCAATATAATTCAAAATGTTAGATTTGTCCTTTTATACTTCACTCAATCAATCCTAATGAATTTACAAAATAAAATTATATTACTCTATGGTTTTAAAAAACAACCTCAAAATGAAATCATTCTGGCCATCAGTTTTCGAGTTGACAGTCCGTTCGTTCGGTTCGAACGAATGGCCTATTCTGACAAAAAAATCTAAAAAAATAATTAAAAATAAAAAATAGTCAAAAACTGTTGAGCGGATTGACGATTTGACGGTTTGACTACCCGGGTTAATAAGTCGTTAACAGATTCAACAGTTTTTGGCCAAAGACCGGGTGTGAAGTAAAACGGAACTGATTGCCTAAACAGTTCCAGGGCTGAACGGTCCAACCGTCTAATCAACGACGATTCAAAAACCATGCTTTGCTCTTTTCAATCTAACCTAGGGAATTTTTAGTTAAAAATTAGAAATTCTTTTAAAGATACTTTGGTAAATCTCTATCAGAATTGATAGGGATAATGGTAAATGGGTATTTTCAAAAAAAATTAATACATTACGCCAACGTTTTTTTAAATAAGAGAATGATGGCAGGGAGGTAAATGCAGGATTTTTCAAAACTCAGGGGAGGATTTGTATATTTTACACTAAGGCCTTGTTGGTTGTGTGTTACCTGGGTAACGCGTTTCCTTAGCCTTAGGGACCAGGCAAGGGATTCCCGGGGAAACATTGCATACTCGTATATATAGTCATAAATACAACATTTGACCAGGCGAAAGAGAACAAGGTAAGGCGTGAGAATCCATGCAATTTGAGTTTTTGCCGGATGGGTAAGTTAATTTATCCACTACTAGAGGTGCAGTTTGGGCGGGTTCAGCCTGAATTCGAACCGGCCCAATCTGGAATTTTACACGGACTGGATTTGGATTTTCAGTCATCGGATTGGACTTGGGCGAGCCCGATCTAATTATATATATTTGTACATATATATGTATGTGTATATATATAAATGTTGCATACATATTTACATATATATACATACATATTTGTATATATAACATTTGTATAGATATTTTGCATACATATTTACATATATATATAAATACATGTATATATATTTGCATAAATACATTTATATATGTATAATTTTAGAGTGGGTTGATTGACCAACCTGAGCCCGGCTCGGGCCCAAATCCAATCCAAATGCATCAAATTACAGGGTGGGTTGGGCTCGGGTTGGGAAAATCAGGCTTGGGCCTAAAACTCAAATTTTAGGGCCGGGCCTGGTTTGACCATAAACCCAACCCAACCCGCCCGACTTGTACCCCTATCCACTACCAAGGTAACCAATACTCTCGAGAAAAAAGTTTTTCGTGGGCCCCATTGTAGCAGCGGTCGAATGCAGGATTATTGCAATTCCATGGGACCCACCTACTCCACCCCCCCGGAATCTAATATAAAACTAGGATGTTAAGGGTAATGGGGTATGCTTGGCAAATAAGTGGCTTGGTTAATAAGTAATTATTTTTAATTACTTATTAGTGTTTGAAAAGTCTTTTCCCAAACCACTTATACTTAAAATAAGTATTTATTTGTAATGTGGTCTTTGGTGATCCACTTATTCCATAAATACTTAAATCCGTGGAAATGACCATTATAGGCCTAACTCAACAAAAGGCATAAATTTGATATTTTTGAATATTATATGACAAATTGTGATGTAAAACAGTTAAAAAAAAAAGTAAAGTGTTGGAGAGGGTGTCGTCAACTACTATGGAATAGGTGGTAGATCTAAAAATTCATTGAACTTAGGGTGTTATGATCTGAAAACATGGGAGAAGGAAAGAGTTTGGAGAAATGAAGAAAATGAAGCAAATAACATGAATAAAATGGGGCTACATATTGGTGTTTCACACGCTTGAAGCTGTGAGAGTATTAGGAAAGTCGTCGCCACTGCTCTTAGACGTTCAAATAGAGAAGATGATAGGATTCTATCATCCTTTGAAGAAGGGAGCAGTCCTACGAAATTACAGAAATATTTGGGGACAATTTTCTCCCAAAAAAGAAATAAGCATTTAAAAAAGCCACCCATTCCTTGTTTATTTTTCAAGTGCTTATTATAAGTACTTATTTTAAATGCTCCCAAACGGGGCTAAAAAAAGCATTTGAACCTTGGTTGCTTACTATAAACATTAAGTATTCTAAGTTCTAACCACTAGACCACTTCATAATTCTATTCAGCTAGCATTGATAAGAAATTATAATATATCCATGTCTATTAAAGTACAAAAAAATATTCATTTGCTAATACCTATGTCGAGCTTTAATCAAACCATTTCTGAATGTTTTTCCATCTGTATAATCTCAGTTATCCATTTAAGAGAATTATTTTGGATGACTAATTTCTTAAGAGAAGGTAAATTTTTTATTGTGACATATCACCATTATTTATTATACTTTGATTATTTTAAATTTTGTAACGTTTAAATGGTCATTAATGAGATTTATAGTATTAGTTTGTCATGCTATGTATATGTTTATGTGTATATATAACAATGTTTCCTTGAGATATTTCCATAGTTTATATATCCCCTTTTTATGGTGAAATTACACTTCAAATAAAGTCATAAACTATTAAAATTCATGTTTTATGTATAGATAGAGGTGTAAAACGGGTCATGCTGGGTCGGCATGGCACGGCCCACATGTGGCCCATGCAAAGTGCGGGTTGTGTTGGGTCGTGCTTCCCTTCCTGGGATATTTTGGGGGTCAGCCCAGCACGGCCCACAAGTTGACCCTACACAGGCCCATATCGAATCGGGGCTGATCTGTGGGCCAAGCCCTTGGGCCAAGCCGGGCCCAAGCTATTTATTTAAAAAATTGAAAAAAAAAACTTAAAATTTTAATTTTATATGAATTTTGATATATACAATAATTAAATAAAATAGTATAATAAAATTGAAAACAATTGTTTATTTTATTAATATATTATATACTATATATTATTATATAATTATAATTCATATAATATATTATATTATATATAATATATATAAATATATAGGGTCGAACCGGGCCAGCCCGCGAGCCACAGGCAACATGGCACGACAGTGTGGGCTGTGTCAGCCCGTCCTATCGACTTGAAACCCCAAGCCCAACACGGCCCATACAATCGTGTTAGATCATGCCAGGCCGCAGGCGGCACAACCCAATTTACACCTCTATGTATAAAGTTGTTAGAGTTGTAGATTATATAAAGTTCATATAATTTTAATATAAATTTGAATTTCAATGGCATATCCATGTGTGTCTTTATTTTTCCATCATATCCATGCATATCTAAAGCATATCCAAAATCCAGACCTCTTTAATATTACTTGCATTTTTCAATACATTTCTTTTAAAAGGAAATGGTGTGGTAGGTTAGTGCTAAATATGCCAATAATGAGATACAAATGCAAGGTTTTGCATCCTCTCTCAACCCATTTTACTATTTATTATTTCTTTTAATACTAATATAGATAGATAGATAGATAGATGGGTTTATAATCAGATACCAGGAGTAGGTACCTCGTGTTAAGTATAATTGGGTCCAAGTACTGGTACCCTATGGTTAAAACCCAAACCCTATAGGGTTTTGATGAAGGGGTCCTATTAGGGTTTGGACTAGCCAAATACCCTAAAATTCCTCCAAAAGTATGTTAAAAATAATTACTTCTTTAAAAATATTTTTAAAACTATCATTTTAAGCACAATAAATATAGTGGTCGATGATTAAATCCAAATTTGACATAAATAGGATTGAATATTTGATAATCAAATCGAATGCAAATGTAGTTGGATTCAATCATATTACAGCCCTACTTCTGTGTAGTTCTTTTCCTCTTGTGGTTCTCACTATATAGTCTACACCAACTAGTTTTTTTCTGCACTGACTTTTATTCTAATTTGGATGGCCAATTCCTAGAATAGCTCCAACAAGTGATAAAATGAGATAAATTAAACTAAGGCTATGTTTGGGAGTGCTTATGTTAAAAATAAGTGCTTATTCGAATAAGCATTTATTATATTTGGCACCCAGCTTTTTCAAATGCTTATTTTTAAAAATAAGTAGTTATTTTGTATTGGATGTTTGGTGGTCTTTTTCCCCAATAAGCACTTGTCACTCTTTTGTCCTTCATTTTCTTTCAAATTTTCAAAATATTCAATCCAAAGTCAATGAATAAAAGTACTTTGATAGAATTTCTTTCATAAAAGTACTTTGATAGAATTTCTTTCATAAAAGTGCTTTCACAAAAAATACTTTGATAAAAGCACTTTCGCA